GCCATTGCTTCTAGGGTGGAGGCCATTGCTTCTAGGGTGGAGGCCATCGCTTCTAGGTTGGAGGCCATCGCTACTAGGGTGGAGGCCATTGCTTCTAGGGTGGAGGCCATCGCTACTACGGTGGAGGCCATGGCTCTGTGGTCCGACTTGTAGCAAGGCACAGGGTCCGACGGCGGTGCCGGTTGGGGTGGCGCTGCTGGTGGTGGGTCAGCTGATGCTGAGCGCCGCCAGCTGGTATGCCTACCAAGTGGCAAATGAAGGTTTAAGATCTGCTCACAAGCATGCATCTGTGAACAAGCCTGGCGTTGCTCCCCCGTTCTTCTTCAAATCTCGCCACCACATCTGCCTCACCCAGGAAACAAGCATCACTGTGCTCGCACACATAATGCTGATCCGTTGCTAACTGGTGCCGGCGAAAAGCCGGGCACCTCGCTCTGGCTACCACAACCCAAGCAGAACAAGTGTAGCGGCAAGTTACACCTAACGTCAATGCGTGAACATATATGGTGAACACATGTGGATATCATGTTTGAAGCTTGTCATCAAAGTATTATTCTTGAACACTGAAGTATTCAAAACTTCAGGGCATTCCGTACAAACATAATCCTCTCAAATGTGTCAGGCGCAGCTGTCCGCTTGTTCCACAAGCCTGTGTCTGTACTACAAAAATGATCTGCTGCGGCTACCCCTGTTTCTCATTTCATTGAAACGACAAGGTGCATGTCTCTGTGGCAGCAGGGCACATGTTTTTTGTAACTATGTGCAGTCATTCAAAGTATGCCTACGTATTCCATCATAGTGGACGGCAATCTCGTTCAAGTGAAATGCATCATCTTGTTTGAGTGACAAACATCTTATATATATATACATACACAAAAAGGCGTATCGCTTTGTTGGGCGGATCTACCTGGGTCGGCAACCTGAGTTTGTTCAAAGATGCAACAAAGAGAGCAAGCTCTCTTCATTTCCCTTCTACTGCCGCGTTCCGCACATTTCTGCTGCGGCTCACGTTGAGCAGATGCAAACACAGGAGCTTCCATTCAAGCAAACAAAGTCCTCTCTTGTAACTGACGACAAAACAACTAATCTAGCGCTCCGCAATCTCCGCACTCCGCACGCCATGGCTTGAGAAGCCACCACAACAGTGCCATTCTCTCAAAGCGGTTCTGGGGTCCCAGGATGCGTTTCCAGATTGGATGGACCTGTTTGGCAAGGATGCTGCTTCATGCACGGCCAATCAGTTGCAATATGGTCAACTTGCACGGCCTCAACAATGCACACTGCTGGATCATGGCCGGGCATCACCACTTCAAAGGAATTGTTTCCTCGAAAGCAGTTAGAGTTGCAATCCTTTGCTTTTACCTCAACATAAGAGCCTAACATTCCAAAACAAACAAACAGATTCGCTCCTGGTTTGAGCCTAGCTTGAACACACGCACACCAACACGTTCATGCCCTATCTTCAATCATGGCCACCGGCCCCTGTCATTCATAGCCACGTCCGCCTCTGCATTTGCTTGCAGAACATCGCTCCCCATGCCGACGAGTACGAAGGAGCTGGAGCGGTGCTTTTGCCAAACCAGTCCAGTATCCTGAAGGAATCCTGCGCATCAAAGCTCGGCTCACCCTGTTGCATCGAAACTTCCTCCGAAAAAGGCCTTCAAGCAGCTGGGCTCAAATCAAACGGCTGTTGGCAAAAGACCCTACCGATGCCACAGCCTCCATCAACCTCCCAATGACGTCCGACGGAGATACCAAACCAAGCCCCTCAAATACACCTGAACCTTCGACGCAAGCCAGGGTTGAATTCGAGGACGTCCGAAATACATCTATAACTGTTTACTTCACTCCCCGCTTGGGCGTCTTGAAGCTCTACTGCCTACTGTCGAAAAGATCCGCTGGCACCGAAGGTGCCTAGGCGCTGTCAGCGGCTTGCATACTCCGGAAGAAATTGCTAAATAGCACATAGCCTAAGCTTTAGCTTACGGGAGGCACTTTTGCTCTAGAATACTGTGTTCTTGAGGTTGCTTGAAAACGGATAACTATTGACATCATGTGTTTGGTCCGTGTGGCTCAAAGCATTGGCGATGTCGGCTATGCAACCCGAGATACATTGCATTATTGACATCCTGTGTGCGTGCCCCTTTGGAGACTGACCGAGACAGGCAGACCGCGACACAGACCGAGGCAAACAGACCGAGACAGACGCACGGCGTGAATATTCTATATTTATTCCAATGTTCCATGCTAAATAAGGGTGGAAGCACCAAACTGCCCGCGCTGTCAGAACTGAGCAGCTGACCACTCTGTCCAGCTTGCTATTTGCCCTGCGAACTTTGACATCGTGACACCTCGCTACGTCCCGAGTTCTCAGCAAATCGTGCTGAGTGAAAGCATCCGAATGTGTATTCTTAACTTCCGATTTGAATATCACAACAACCGATCATGTTGATCTCCAGGCAGGCCATGAAACAAATCACGTGAACATATAATTACGTGAATGAATACAAGCTGTTTCCTGCAAACCAGCAGGTCCAATGATGGGCTGGCGCAGTCTGAGGGAACGGCCAGCTCGGCAGTCGAGTGACCTGCAGCCAGAAAGTGGGCGGCCTGGACCATGCCCTTCAGTAGATCGAATCTACTGAATCAGGCATATGGTTGGATCAGGTGCCACAGCAAACAAAGTCAACCATGTACGGAGGTTTTACCCTAGCCTTCCCAGACTAGTTTATATAACTAGAAAAGTTGAGCTGGTTTTGTAGTCTAAATTCCTTAGTAAAACAATGGTTATTCAGTACAGCCTATTGAATGAATGGTGGCTCGAATCCTAGGGTATATGCTTGTGCTTTGGACTCATACAACGGTGGTACTCACGTTGACTGGTTTGTCAAATTGCTTCAAGGCCAAAAGCATCTAAGAGCATTTATGGTCTCAATAAACGTGTCAAGTGTTGAATAAATGATAATGAATAAATGTTATGAGCTTTCTAGTGGAATCCCACCATGGAAGCAGGCCTCCGGACATAAACACGTACAATACTGTAAGCAAACCAAAAAAGTTGCCCAGAGTTCGAAGTTCGACAAAATACTAGAGTACTCTATGCCTGAGATGCCAAGACGTAGCAATCCGGGCGATCACCGCCTCGGCGCGTCTGGGAAGCGGAGTGAGTGACGAAGCGAAGGGGACTTTAAGTCGGTGAGGAAAACATAAGATAAGGCTTTGATAAAAGCCCCCTTTATATTGATGCAAAAGGAACACCAACGCTGATGCAAATACAGGGATGCCTCTCAAGCTTACCACTATGAAGAGCAAAATAGTATCCAAATGAATGTTGATGTTTATTCACACCTCCAAAATGGCCAGGTTAAATGCTTTCAGCTACTCGTGGCCCTGAGGAAGGACAACAACAGCTACTGTCTTCTTTCTTCCACGATCGTTGGATAATAACTTTGACTCTGACAGTTGCCATCCTCGCAGGTTTTTCTAATGTCCGGCCACAGAACGGCCTGCATCCGGACTGTCTTCTGTGTCCTCCGGCAACATTATCGGCAGAACGAAGAGCAATCAAATAAAAATAAAAATACTTCTTTAACTTTATATTTACTGGTTTTTAATAGTGGCATTATCGTTTCATAAGTTTTGTCTCGCCATCTCTCTTTGATCGGTCAGCAAAGTACCAGCTGTCAACTGCCTGATCTGCAGGTGGATCCTTGGACACCTGGCAAAGAAGCAAGCTCTAGGCATTTTCGACGACGGGAGAGTTGTCATCCCAGCTGGATTGATACCCATGTTTTCTCTGCATCCGCGATCAGTCAATGCTGACATATTCCGTCTTCGAAACCTAAGCAAATTCTCAAGACACTTCTGCCACAGCGTACGAGAGCGGTCACATGCAAGCGGCAAAAATACTCACTGGATCTTTGCACAATGTCGCACATGAAGTGCTGCAACTCTTTTGCGGTGAACATAACACAGGCTGGCAAACCCAGCGCAACTTTAACCAGTGTCCTTTCCTGCAATTGGCTCGGGCAAAAGAGTCTTCTTCATTCTTGTATATTATTGTTCTGGATTGGAGAATACATCTGAGTCTTTCGGACAATTCATCCTTTGAACTGTGCACCCTTTCTACAGTTTTTTCTCCAGGTGGCACTGTTTCAACCCCAAGTTGTGAGGTTTAAAGCTTAAACTTATTGAAGTTGTCCAACAACTTGGTCCATGATCTTTCAAGTGCGCTGGAGTCCGCTCCTCAGCCTTTGGAAGAGCCAGGACGCCGTTTGGGCCGGTGTCTTCGCTCGTACCCACAGGATGTAGGTATCCGGATCGCCATACCTCCAAACCCAAACTTATAGCCTTAGCAATGCCCTCCAACCTAATAGCAATGGCCTCCACCCTAGTACCGATGGCCTCCAACCTAATAGCGATGGCCTCCAACCTAATAGCGATGGCCTCCAACCTAATAGCCATGGCCTCCACCCTAGTAGCGATGGCCTCCAACCTAATAGCGATGGCCTCCACCCTAGTAGCGATGGCCTCCAACCTAAAAAATTGCCTCCAACCTGATAGCGATGGCCTCCAACCTAGTAGTGACGGCCTCCAACCTAATAGCAATGGCCTCCACCCTAGTAGCGACGGTCTCCAGCCAAATAGCACCAACCTAGTAGCGATGGCCTCCAACCGATGTCCTCCACCCTAGTAGCGATGGCTTCCAACCTAATAACGATGGCCTCCAACCTAATAGCGATGGTCTCCAACCTAGTAGTGATGGCCTCCAACCTAATAGCGATGGCCTCCACCCTAGTAGCGATGATCTCCAACCTAATAGCGATGGCCTCCAACCTAATAGCGATGGCCTCCACCCTAGTAGCGATGGTCTCCAACCTATAGCGATGGCCTCCAACCTAATAGCGATGTCCTCAGTCCTCCAACCTAGTAGCGATGGCCTCCAACCTAGTAGCGATGGCCTCCAACCTAATAGCGATGGTCTCCACCCTAGTAGCGATGGTCTCCAACCTAATAGCACCAACCCAGTAGCGATGGCCTCCAACCTAGTATCGATGGCCTCCAACCGAATATCGATGGTCTCCAACCTAGCAATGCTTACCTTCGTGCACCACTTCAAACCGAGTGAGGCATCTCTTCGAGCTTGCTGGCATTTGATTGCCTTGTTTTATAGGTCTCTCCTCAAGAGACCCGTGTACCTATATTCTATATTTATGTAAATTATTGTCCTGTGTAACAGATGGTGTTGCCCCTTCTGTCCATTTCAGTTGTTTTAAAAATCATCTCCATTCGATACCATAATTAAATTGAAGGATCTAAGGATCTTGAATAAACATCAAAAAGCCGGAAATCTCGGAATCTCTAAGCTATTTGCCAATCTGTGACCAACATGTCTTTCTTGTAGGCATCAATGGCCAACACCTGGCAATCTGCAACTTACAAGACTGATTCCTGGAAAGACTCGAGGCATACAATGACCTACAGGTCTCAGAAGGGGTCCAAAGCTTTTCATTGTTCCCCGAAAAACAGCTTTCATATGTCATGTTCTTCCAAATCTATCCGGTCTTAGAAAGAAAAAGCCACTAAATGCTGTCCAAGCACCTCTACCACCAGATCTTCAGGCTGTTCGAAGTTCAGCTCAACGCTAGTCTTCCTCATTCCAAGGGCTCAAGCAAACAAGAGCCACTAAATGAATCTACATTAATTTCCAGGTGTCCCAACTGCAAAGGACAAAACAACAATTGCTATTGCTACTATTGCACCCATGAAGTTAGCAATGCTTGTCAAAGTACAGCTCTGAAAATCTATCCTCCAACACCCAAGTGCTATTGCTAATGCCCCAGCGGGTGTGACCTGGTCGTTCCTGTGGCCCCACGCAAGTATCTGGAGATGGTCTCTCCTTCGAGTTTCGCCCTGTACCAAGATGCTCAGGAATATGCACTACGCTATGCATCGCAAGGCAAGTAATTATTGACCTCATCACTTTCCAGAAATGCTCCGTCAAAGCCTTACCAATTGACTTCACGTCCAACAAAAATAATTAATGGCGTGAAAATAGAACCGACGGAGGAGTGAGCATAGAGGCATTTCCGGATCTTCATTCACGCCTGAAGAAATTATACAGCTGAGCCATCTTCGCATCCGTATCGTGCTGCAAAGTGGGGCGCCAGTCCTGCAAAAGCAGCCCGCCCACAAACATGGGCCTGCTTGCTTGTCTATCTTGTCTGCGTGTCTGCATGGACAAATCAAAGGCTTCCTGTCCAGGGTTTTCCAGAAATTTGTGGTGTTCTATGTGATAGTTTATCACATGATACATGCATAGCATCTCTCAATCGTGTGTGTTTTTTTGCAGGGAGAGGACACTTTGACACTGGAGCTTGCCAACCCTGTGTCCTGATTGTGCATGTCTATGCTGTACAAATCCTCCCCTTTGGGTGCCTCCTGGCAACATTTGCGCGAAAAGAATAGGCTAGCTTGACAGCCTCAGGCTTTGGACACATTTGACATTTGACGTCATGATGTATTCTATGGTTGACAGGAATATGACGTTTTTGTGCGTTAGTCTAAATCACGACACATGTTGAAAATTCAATTTCGGAGACATTATATCAGCGCATACCAGGTGAATTGGCATGCCATGCTAACAGTGCTGGAGTATGCAAGTGCCAAAGCATCAGCCTAGAACAGCCACATGAAAAAGATTGAAAAAGTGGAAAACAGTTAGTCCACCAAGCCGTTGGTTCTCACGTCTGCGCGCTGGAGAAGCCAGCATGAAGTGGCAGTGAGTGCGCGTAGGGAGGTCAGTCCGTCGAACACTACGAACACTGGGAGCAGACATGTTGACACAAACATACACAAACCGACATTCAAAGCTGCTTCCAGGGAGTCTTACTACAACCACTGTCTGTTCCATGATGCTCCATGCTTTTCTCGAGCATGAAGTCACCGGAAACATATAGTGGTGCCTCTCGATCACAGTCGGCGAATGCCACATCTGTGTGTCTCCTTGCCCACACCCATGAAGCGCCAAAGCTTGCTCTAAATGTTCTCCATCCGTTGAGAACATACTCTGGGAGAAGCAAACGTTGTTTCATAAGACAAACACTCTCATATTGACTTCACCGCTGTGATGTATGTTATATGTCAGACCCTTAAAGAACAATGCTATTTTAAGGTTGAAATGGTAACATGTTGCTTCTGATGCTGGTTTCAACTGTTGTCAGCACTGTTATCTTCGAATTCCAACGTAGCTGTCATGAGCACTAAAATCACCAACATCATCTAGAAACGCCAACTTTGAGAGGGTCAACCAAGTTCAGGAGGCAATGAATCATGCGAAAGTGCTGTCCTCCACCACAGATTAAGATATCTCGGACATTTACGCAGGGCTTCAACACGATGTGCGCGCCTTACTTGGAAACAGCAGGACGGAATCGGTGGGTTGTCAATGTGTCAACTGTTACAACCACCCATCTGTGCCGCTATCTTTCCCATTCTCATTCTCCTGATCGGATTCACAGCATGGCTGCTTGAACATGACACATGTAGGACCTTGCAAAGGTACCTCGTTTTGACCAAAGCAGTGAGCATCGCAAGCACTGTTGAAGTGACTTGGAGCTCCGAGCACTATATCTCCAAGGCATAGGAATGGCCTGGGTTCGACATCAGGAACGATTAGCACCCAGGCAGGCTTGTCATAGCTTGCACTAGGTGGCCCAAGATCCAAACATATTCACCAAGCTTCCAGGAGGTGGCTGCTTCTTCTTCACCTTTGGAGCTTGGATGGGTGGGAGTTGAATTCTAGATCGGTACGGGCCGGGACACAAAAATGTACAATCCAAAATTGACATGTGCAATGTTGCAGTGTTGCAAAGCGATTCTGAATATGTCTGAATGCAACATGCAAATTACATAACAAATTAAACATATTCCAGGAAGATCCTTCAAAAACACTTGGCAATCTTGGCAGTCTTACATCATGTCACACTTTTCAGGCTTTGCTCAACCAAGAACATGTTGTGGTGAAGGCGCACATTAATGAGTGACCCATCAGGCTGAACGACATGGGCCCCTTAAGGCCTTTAGAGGCTCTTCATAAGTCCATAGCAACAAGGGTGAATCACTGTGGGCCAAGGGAGGGTTGGCTTGTTCAGTTGATACAACGCATCTTGAAAGCTCTGCCTGCAAAGAAAGTGATGGGAGCAACTTCTCCAAAGGCCAGTCTGCGCCTAGGTCAAGCAGGTCATTTCAACACAAAGGGCTTCAACTCTCTTCTTTACCTGCGTTGAATGCCCTCTAGAAGCACCAGTGAATATGATGCTTCTCAAATGTTACTCAGCCTCCGGCATGCTAGTGTGTTGCCAACTGACTCGTCGAAAATAAGCAGGCTCATGCAGTAGGTGTCTGTAGAAAAGCCACTGTATGGTCTGCACGCAAAAACATCGAAGTCTGTTGAACAAATTGCTGCAATAGACTGCAACGATGATGCAAATGTGCAGTATGCAACTGTGGTGAACTTGTGACCTCCACCGTTAAGACCTAGTGATCATAGATTTAGTATATAATTTACATATTAGGACAATCATTATATTGTCCTGTGGAGAACTGCAGTACTGGTATGAATCAAACGAACAGAATGATGATGCCAAACTGGTCTTGATATCCAGTCAAATCATAAAGTCCAGCGCTTTGACTCGGCCCAGTTCTGTTCCTGCAGCCTTCTGTCACGTTGAACGCTTTCGGCCCATTTCTGATCCTTCTCTAGTGCCTTGAGTTTGAGATGCCACTTTTCGCATTTTCCCAGAAAATGCCCCACACCTGAAGCTTTGCAACAGTGCAGGTTCATGACTGTCATGTAAAGGACTTCCAATCGCATAGGCTCCTACGCCAATGCAGCTTGCGAAGGATTTCTAATTCTCCAATAAGCTACCAAAACACACTGTCCACACAGAGTTTGGTTTCAATGGGTCCCTTTACCGGAGTGACTCACTCCTACAAAATGGAACAAACTGTCAACATTATGCAGAGTTGCTTCGCAAGAAGAACACCATAGTTTCTGACAGTATAGTTCTAGTCTAGGTTACTGGCATTGACCGATCTGCGCGGCGGAACCGAGGTCAGCCGCCTTGGTGAATCTTCAACATGCAATACAGTTTCTTCTTTCATTGCCAAAACAGTGTTTCATCATATTCCACCCTGGGTTCAGCCTAGTTTTCCGAGCATACATCTCTGGCAAACAAGCCTTTGCTGGTTAGCATCAACCATGCTGGGGGTGCCAGTACTGATATGCCTGGTTCCTCGCACGATCGTCGGGAGGCAGAGTCAACCTTGGGCAGCGCACGCGGTCACTCTGTGCTCTGGAGGTCTTGGGGGTTGGGTCGTTCATGACCTTGGAACTTTGGAACTCGGTATTGCACCATCGAAGGTTGTTTCCTGGCTGGAGATCATCGATGGAAAGATGTAGCTCCTGTTGTGTGCGGGCTGATGATCCCTGACACGTGGCTGAAGTCTGTTTTGTACTTAACAGATCTTCATGGTTTTGGGCCGATGTTTTTGTCGGCACATTCTGGCAGTCGACAAAGGTGGCAAAGCCGGACCATGGAGCCATGCTTACGGTTCTTCACATTATCACTGCTTCGTGCTCAACAAGCCAGCAAGACCACCGGATCGACCTCAGTCCGTTGAGCGAACAACTACAGTCTCTTTGGCTCTTGAGGCTCAGTTCAACGAACCTAGCATACCACGATCTAGAGGCTTTGCAAAACTTCAGGTGTCAACGGCGTCTACGCAGCCAAAAATATTGCGTTCTTTGTCCTGCGGCTTCCAAGGTTCAGCGGCAGCTCTTGATGCTTTTGATGTCTGTGCCCTTTTGTAGTGATTGATCTATTGATCGCTTGGATTTTGACCTACCGTCGTCGTAAACGATAACTAGATATGATATAACAACTAGTAAACTGCAAACAGATTGCAACATGTGCCCTTGTGTTTCCTTTTGCTTCCTTATTAATCCCGGTCGGGTCTCACACTTTACATCCATGACTGACGCTTTTGGCTCAAGCTCACGGAAAACAACCGCTTGCTTAAATAGAATCAGCATGACTATACGTTCGGTTTCCGACCCGGTCATTACAATATGTGATTGTTTTATATCGGTTGTGCAATATTGTGCTTCTCTCATCTCATGCTCTATCCGCTGTAACTCACTCTTGCTCTTAAGTCAGCCACGTTAGCACGCATAACGGTGACAAAGGCCTTAGATGGCGCAACTTAGAACATCTGTGGCCTCTTGCTGATGAACTTTCTGAGGCCTGAGCGACATGATCGTCCACCCGGACACAATCGCCCATATTGTCCGGTTTTTCGACGGTGACCAGGTCCTGCCCCGTTCGCGACTCTCATTCAACTGACTGACTGATCAATCGTGTTGAGAAGCTACGTCGGCCGTCTCCAGCGCTGTGTGGGTCCGTCTCTATAGTTCTCTACAAGTTATCCTGCAGCTTTGCAATGCTTTGCATGGTCTGCTTTGGAAACCTCTCCTCGGGTTGCAAAGCCGCAAGCCGTATTGCCCACCAGCCAAGGAAGTGCACTTCGACAGTTCCACCTTAGTCTGACTCTTGAATCACCGCTGTGCACAGGAAGCTCTCAGATCCAGTGCAAGCAGTTGCTTTGGCAGCGAAAGACACATGCTCCAAGTGGCCTCCCTGAAGCTCAGCTGCGACTCGAAGAAGTGCCTCCTGGCTCACAAAGATCTGGGGATGTGACAAATGCTGTTGTCAGAGTCAACAATATGGGGATGGGTCAAAACCCGGAGTCCTTGCCCACCATGTAGGTTGACCTCCCAGGTAGGTCAACTTAGGCCAACCAAGGTATCCTAGTTTTGACCCGGAGCCATATACTACAAGTATCTATATCGTACTGTATCTAGAGTTGAAAGTTGAAAGCATCATCTAGCAAAGCACTATGGCACTGTGGTTCAATGATAGTCTAGGTGTTCTGCTTCAGACAAACTCTGTTCGGCAAGAGCATTCCCTGCAAATCCTTTCAGAATGCAAAGCTTGTCTAGGAACAGTACCAGTATCATCATTGTCTATATAAAAGTCACTAATCCACATATCTGCTCCCAAATTTGCAAAATTTGCAAGAAGCGACAGTTCCCAGCTCCAGCTCCACAAACCCTTTTGGCTGCACAGGGGTCGCTCGCACCAGTGCACTTCTTACACAGGTGTGCTCTGGAGGACTCCAACTCAAGGCCTTCGATAACAGCACATGCCACGTGGCCAGCTGCCACATCATGTGCACGGCAGAAACCCAGGAAGATCACATGCACAACTTCACTTGAAAGAGCGCAACAAACGGTCATGATCCATCCCGCTTCACTGCCAACCACAGTTCTTCCGATGGTCAATGAAGGAACTGTGCCCGTGCATAGGGAAGGTTCTGCCTTTCCTGCTTTCCTGGCTACAATGACAAGACAACTGCTTTCTCGTCTCAAAAATGATGCGAATGAGACAAGGACCAAGGGCTAGAGCGGCTCTACAATCTGTGTACAAACCACTGCAATTGACGGCTCGGCTGGGACTGCAGAACAGTGATTCTGATCTTCCCCAAAGCTTTCGAAATCCCCGCGCACAAGTGCAATTGATACATGTTGCAACTCACAAGTGCAAAACACTGGAGAGTGTACAAGTCGATTCTAGACATGTTATATAGCACAGTCCGAACAATCCCAGCCTTGTCAAGTTCAGCAGCTCAGCTTTTCAAAGATTTGGAAAGCGGAAAATCTGCCATTCAGCCAACACAAAGAGTTTGGAAGATTTGAGGTCGCTGGGTTGCCACTGATGCCAACCCCTTGGCTTTGATGGCGGCAACCCTTGGTCGCAGCTACTCCTTTGACAGCTGGCGCTTCCGTTGATGCATTACAAGCGCATTGACATCGCCTGTCAAAGCTTTGAGGCCGAACGGCACATGCGATACAGTGTCCACGAAAGAATGTGCTAGTTTTATGAAGGACAGGTTCTCAAGGGACCGTGAATTCATCACATGGCCATGCGGATGGATCCATGGTCTTGCGTGTTGAAACTCATCTTCAAAGTAAAGCAATCAAGACAGGACACTCACGCAAACACCCCTGCCCTCCCGACGTCCTCTTCTTTCAAGGCTTGTGCATAATCGATGTTCTGCTTCATGGAGTCACTGGCTGGACAGACTTCCTGTGCATCCTGAAACGCCTTGGCTTGATTTGAACAATTTCATCTACACGTACAAAAATGCGTACATGTGCACATAGTCACATAGTGTTGGTAACGTTGTCTTGCGTTTCCTGCAAGTCTGTTTCTGCTTGAGAGGAAGGAAGGGCGTTCCTCTACGAATGACTTCTGCCACACTCTTCTCAATGACTAGCACACCGTCTTGATAGCCTATCAGTCTTGTTGCAAAGGCATGACAAAACTAAACAATTCTGGCATTCCTGCAAGTCAATACAGATGATCAAAGTTAATACCTATGGTCTTGGTCATCCGCAACAACTCTACTCCGTCCCAAGTGCGAGGGACGGCCATCAAGGCCGCCAAGGCACGTCGATGGCATTCTGGAAACGCTGCAACTTCAAATACACCAAACCTGCGACGTCCAGCAATGGTCGTCTCTGGATGTCTGAGCACTTTTTGCTATTGATTTTTAAGTACTTATGATCAAACAACAAACAACTCAACAGGATTCTCTCTTGTTGAGACATTTTGAGCTGGAAGTTGCTCCACCTTGACATGTATGTCTTCCTCATTCATCAGCCACTTCCACTCCCTTCAAGCGGCGAACCTTTGCCGGACAAAGCTCCGAAATGCCGTGGTTGAAGCTCCAAGGTCTGCGACAACGACCCCCGACCCACACTGCGGCCATGGTTCTTCGATGTCAAAGCAACTGCCCATCACTTCTTTACATGTTTTGGTCCTTTTCAACTAGCCAAACAAGCGGGAAAATGTTTCAGGGATCTCGAGGTCTTCAAGCTTGGATAGTTTGCTTCTGCATGTCTTTTCATTCCTGTCTTGGATTGCAAAAAAGAAATGTGTGCACCAGCCAAAGCCAAACCCTGGGTCAACAACAATTGGCATGATCATTTAAAAAGGGCAAGGCTGACCAACGCATGTGCACCTTGTCAATCTCTTTCAGGGAATAGTTGTAGTTCCCCAAAAGGTAATCGACCTGTGTGCATGCACCCTCAAGAAATGCAAGATGTATAGCACAAAACCATTGTAGTCGTAGTGAATCTAAATCATGGTCTCGAGTCTCTGTAGTGACATTCCGGACTTCCCATTGGAATATATATTCACCAAGATACGGTCGCCAAGCGATTCCAGGCTTCTGCCCAAGCAGGCTCCAAGGTCGCTGCATGCAGAAAGCCTAAGACCAGTGTACCAGCAAAGTATCCCATATTGTCGACAGAATCGACTAGACAAACAAGTCGACTCTGCACGTTGGCAGCTAGCAGCTAGACCCTTGCACCTTGAGCTGCTTGGACTTAATTGACCAATATGAAAGTAGGACTGCTACATGACATGCCTCTCCTGATGCTCATTTATATATAACTGATCTATCTTCTTGCCATGTTGCATTGTTTGGCCATCTCCAGTTCGCCTTCATCCATCAGATTTGACCCCTCGGAGACGAGGGTCTGCGCCACCGGGTTCTCATGATAAAACCACGTCTGCCACCTTGGAAGCTGGGCAGCTTTGCACCAAGTGCACTCTTGTCTTCAGTGTAAACTGATGAACTCAGAGCAAGAAACTCTACAGTTCTACAGCAACGATGGTCCAAGAAAAGAACCCGTTCAACTCAAGCAAAGCCAAGCTCACCCTAGCAAATATGTAATTATATACATATGCAGTTTATATTTGTCTATTTACTTATATAGTCCTTTTTGTGCTTACGTTTTTTTTATAATATGTTTGTATCATTATGTGTTATGTAACATTGCTGCCTTCTTTTGTCTGGTGCCACCTTGTCACCAGTTGTAGATACGCATATTTTGCATAAATTTTATCACGTCTGGAAAGACAAGACGATGCATTCTTCCAGGCCTCCTTCTGAATTGAAAGATTATCGGGCAATGTTCAAATGCCATTGTTGTTTCACATCCTGGGCACAGCAAACGCTCCAAACTCCAGGCTCTTGAAGACTCCGCCGCAGCAAGTTCATCCAGCAGTCTCTCAGAAAGTTCGGCCTGCCGAAGCCGACTTCAGCTTGGATTGGCCGTTCAACATGGTTCAACAGAAAATATGACAAACAAAGAAGCAAAAGGGTCTTACTTGAACTTACTGTAAACTACAGCGACTAGGACAATCGACTCTATTGCAATTAAAGTCCGTTAATCATGTCAGCAACGCGTGAAGCTACTCTCTAATCAAGAAATAGCATGAACGATTTCGGGACGTATTGGGATTCCTTCGACCACCTTCAACAGTCTAGTCTACATCCTTTGACCATAAAGTCGCTTGGAGCCACATGGCCCTCAGCGATTTACACTTCAGCCTGCTTGTGGTCATTCAAGACCGCACAAGCTCAAACGGCAAGTCTTGAATTACAATAAGTGTTTCCCCTGCCCTACCGTGCTTGGACGCAAGAATAATAACGGTTCACTGCATCTTCGTGACTCGATTCCGCACTCTGCTACAACGGTCACATTGCGCACCTACCGATGTTAGATATGTTAGCAACAAGTGCACAACTTGAAGTCCTTCCAGAGCCAGCCTGGTCGAGGGTGCTCCGCAGTGAGTGCACCAGTTTAGAAAGATCCTTCAGTGGAGCACCCACTCGTGTCTCACGAATTGAAGTAGTTACTGTCCGCGACCTCAGATTGTGAGTGAAGGGTTGAAGGGAGCTGCTGGCACCTTCAAGCAGCAAAGCAAAAGGAAAGCAGGGCAGTCACAAACCCGAGCATCAGCCCGAGCATCTCGAAAAAAAAATGACATGTCCGCCAAAAAGTGTAAGTGCAAGTGAATATAATACAGCAAACAAATAAATGCTGCATTGTCGTGGCGATTCCTTTTTTCCTCACATCTGCACTTCGCAAAGCCAGCAGCACTTCGCCTTCGCCTCGGGAAAACTTTCCGCCAGTGGTCTTTTTCACAGCCTTCTGCCGAATCTGTTCTACGAGGGCTTCACAAAGCTGATAATGATAGCAAATAGCTACTAGTATTTGTTTAAACATACTGGTAGATGAACGGGCTTACCGCTGGGGGGCCTGATCTTGGAATGACAAATTCAAGGCCCCCAGCCTGTGGTAGAGAAAACTGTTCTTAAATTTTTCCATAATCAATCACTCAGCCATATCGAGAACAGAGTACAGTAGTTCATTACAAAGTCCAAGACCCCTGGGCACAAATGTGCATGCATTTTAGCTTTACAAGTTCTTTCACCCCACCCTTCAAAACACTAAATCAAGACCCCCAGGGTCCAGAATGCAAGAAAAAAAACTCCCTTCAAACTGCATGAATATCCTGATCTGAAACGTGTCTGATATATTCTCATGGTCTCATGTCAGTCCAGCTCAATGAATGTAATTGAGATGTTTGAGCATCCACCATCACTTACAAAATCGAGACACCCTTCCTCTGTCTGCACAGAATCAAAGCATCCAGCCCAAAAAATGTTGAAAACACACCATCCAACAATTCATGATTCGCGTCCACAAAGTCATGGCACCCACTCTGAGTTCATCCAAATGCAAGATCGTTACAAATTCAACCCCCCCCAGACTCTGATTTCGCAAAAAAAACCTTTACAAATCAGTAGTGGATTTGACACCCTAGGGCGTTTGATTTTGGAAGGGATTTAGTTTCAGGTATGCTTAAACTATATACTAATAGGAATGGCCTCCACCCTAATAGCGATGGCCTCCACCTAGTAGGGTCCTTGCTACTGGTAGCGTCCTTAGGGCATATCCATGAGTTCCGCCATTGGGAAAATTGGTCTATGTTGATTAATCAGTATTCCACTGGTTGCGCTGTTTATGCTCGGCAACGAATTGATATTCCTCCAACAGTACGCCTTCTGCAAACATTGCACTGTGTTGAAACTATTTCTGCAGACATTCCAAATGACCTGCTCCATCCTGTTCCTGTTCTGGAGTTGCATTGAAGTCCACTCTCCCATTCAGGTCTGAGAACGCCACGGAGAGAGACGCTGCAACGCTCCAAAGCCTGCCGCGCGTACCGCTGCAGCTGGCGCGAGGGACTCATCAGAAGCCTCGGGTTGTGCCCGATCGGGGCTAATCTATGTTCATTCTGTTGCACTAGACTATATTCATCTATATATATATATTCGAAAGCTTGCACTTTGGATGTTGGTTCTTTCACAAAGTAGCTCACTAAAGTTAACCAAGCAGTTGGGCTACAAGCACTTCCCGGGCAAGCCGGCGGCGGAAGTTTCCTATAAAAACCATTTGACCTCCCTTCGCACATGCCCTGCGGACCCCCTTTTTTCCCGGCCCGCAGCGATGGCGTCGTGCAAGCAGCCCACAACGGCGTAGTCGCTCTGGCACTGTGCATGCGGGTCACAGTCACACCACCGCACGTCGGAGTGAATGTAGTTACACAGGACTCCGAATTTGCGTGTAAAACCTCTCATACATGCGCAACCAGAGTCTTAACAATGAATGCAGCCAAAGACTGTAAGTATGCAACTGCGCCAAAAACTTCAACCATAAGTACAAGCTGACCTGTTAACAAACTAGACGACAGGGTGGCCCGAAAGCATAGTAGGAGTAAGCATTATAACGAAAGGGTGCCAAACCAAAACGACGAAACTGAGGGAGGAACCGTTTGTCGGTAACCACCAATCATCCCGCTCACCAGCGACACACCGCGTTTACACCAGCATGTTTCGCGCTCCCCAGTGGCACGGTGCCACGCAAACGCACTTCCCACCAAGGCCGTGCAAATCCGCATGGCACTGCGACATCACGAACGTAATTTCACCTCACGGTCTGCCACACACTATAGAAGCAAACATATCACACGATACCACCAATCATCCCGCTCACCAGCGACACGCCGCGTTTACGCCAGCATATTTCGCGCTCCCCAGTGCACGGTGCCGCAAACGCACCTTCCACCAAGGCCGCGCAAATCCGCATGGTATAGCGACATCACAGACATAATTTCGCCGCACCGTCTGTCACAGACTAAAAAAAAACACTTCTGAGTCCAGCTCCGCACCGCTGTTTCCTGTACTACATTTGCACTACAAACTGGCCACTTCTGAGTCCAGCTCCGAAAAGCTCTTTACTACAAACTGGCCGCTTCTGAGTCCAGCTCCGAAAAGCTCTTTCCCGCACTACATTTGTACTACAAACTGGCCACTTCTGAGTCCAGCTCCGAAAAGTTCACCAAGATCTGCACTTCGAGGTTCACCAAGTGCTGTGCCTGCCACGAAATCTGCACTTCGAACTTCACCAAGCGCTGCACCTGCCACGAAATCTGCACTTCGAGGCGCTGCGCCTGCCCCGAAATCTGCACTTGGAGGTTCACCAAGCGCTGCGCCTGCCACGAAATCTGCACTTGGAGGTTCACCAAGCGCTGCGGCTTCCACGAAATCTGCACTTCGAGGTTCACCACAAGCGCTGCGCCTGCCACGAAATCTGCACGTCGAGGTTCACCACTTAAGCGCTGCGCCTGCCGCGAAATCTGCACGTCGAGGTTCACCAAATGGTGTGCCTGCCACGAAATCTGCACTGCGAGGTTCACAAAGTGCTGTGCCTACCACGAAATCTGCACTTCGAGGTTCACCAAGTGCTGTACCTGCCACGAAATCTGCAGGTTCACCAAATTCTGTGCCTGCCACCAAATCTGCAAAGGAGCCACATGTCCAAAAGTCACGATTCACTGC